CTGTCTGGAGTTTCACATGTTCTTCCTGTGTCCATGTGGGTTTCCTCCAGGTTTTCGGGTTTCCTCCCACTCCCCAAAAACAGCATGGCAGTGGATTGGCTATGATAGATTATCCCTATGTGTAAATGAACGTGTGAATGTGTGCTTCATGTGCTGCAATGGACTACTGTGGCATCTACGATGTTTCAGGAACAGCGCCGAGTTTGTTAACCAAAAGAAGGTTCCCAGAATGTTATGAAATTATGAAATTAAAATAACCAAAGGGAAATCAAATGCCAACTGTGTTTGCTGGATTAACAATTAACTCACAAATAGACTACATTTGATTAAAATATTCTTTTGTACTAGTATAAATCACGAATAACGCATTACAAATTAGGCATCACAGTGGCAAACCGTACACAGCTCCAGGGTCTCTGGTTCGATCCTGAGCTTGGGTTACTGTCTGTGTGGAGTTTCACATGTTCTCCCTATGGTTGCATGGGTTTCCTCTGGGTTCTCTGGGTTCCTCCCACCTCCCAAAAACATGCAGTCAGGCAGACTGGCTACACTAATTTGCCCATATGTGTGAATGCATGTGTGCATGTTGCCCTGCCATGGACTGGTGTCTGCAACCCTGACCAGGATAAAGCGGTTACAGTAGATGAATGAATTTAAAGGTACACTATATATATATATATATATATATATATATATATATATATATATATATATATATATTCATGTTCGTTTCACTTGTACATACTAAAGGTACGAAAAATTTACAGTTTGGTACCCTTATTTTTGAGAGAGGAGGTTTGGTAAAGCAAATACATCCCATTCAGAAAATATCAGAGACTTTAACAATAAACTGGGTTGTGTGTGTGTGTGTGTGTGTGTGTGTATGTCTATGTCTGTGTGTGTTTGTTGTCTCTAACTCACCAAGGGTTGATACGATTGCTCGCACGGGATCTCCAGAAGAGCTTGCCCAGGTCCTGGCGAATACACTCCCAGAGGATCTGACTGGTGCCCTGGCCCTGTTTACTGTCACTCACCACAAATTTATCCAGATACAGGATCCCACTGCTGACTGGCTCAGAGGTGATGATGGCTACTGTGCTGTACCTGAGGAGCAGGAAGCAGGTCACAACACAGTACTACTCGCAGAAAATTCATTCTTCTACATAAATAAAGCTCTTTTACTGACTAAAAGACACACTGCTTTACTCGTGTGTACAGCATATTTGAACAAAAGTCTGAGGATGCAAGTAAAGGTGATGTTACCCTTCTGACAGATAGATGGAATGAAGTCTGTCCTTAAGAGAGCTGATGTAGTCTTCATTTAGTGTCTTCCCAAATGATTTGTTAATCAGAGCCAGGAGACGGTCAATGTCTATGCCCTCAAGGCTGCTGTACCTGATAGAAAGTGACAATCATCTCATAAAATGTCGACAGTGTCCTCTAAGGTCAGGCTCATCTAGTCCCAACTATATATATCATATATCAACTATATATACTTGCAGTACATTCAGAAAGTATTCACCCAGATGTTGGGAATTGCCATGATTCACTATTACAGGTTTTCACAAGGTTAAACCTGAAATATCAATCCTATTAAGACCAGATGCAATGACACTTGAAACTGCTCATCCCATTCCCAGTAATGATCTTTAAGAGTTCATTAATTAAGGTTTAAGTGGAAGGGACATGACATGAGAAGGGCCACTTCTATCTATATAAAGCCCCACAGCTGACAGTGTGACTTAATGACACAGCAAAGAACAAGTCATTAAGTCTAATGAATTGTCCATAGAGGATAGCGTTTCTGCACTGATCTGTAGAAGGGAAATGCAGCTTTGAAGAACACTCCAGTCTCCATTATTCTTAAATGGAAAACATGTTTTAGCATTGAGAACTCTTGAGATCCTGCATGGGGATTGGAGAACCTAAAAGAATGACAGCCATCTCTGCAGGACTGCACTAATTAAAACTTCAGGATATAGTGGCCAGAAAGAAGCCATTCTTCAGTAAAAATCACATGACATGCTTGGCGTTTGCCACAAGGCACCTAACAGAGTCTCAAGCCACGAGAAACACGACTCTATGGTCTGATTAAACCAAAATTGAAACTTTGCCCTGAATTCTAAGAATTACATCTGAAGGAAACCAGCCACCGCTTCCATCTCTACAGTACAGCTGCTAGTGGACCAAAATACATCTTTGAGTCTAGTCACAGTCAAGACACATCTCTGGACAGACCTAAAAACAGCAGTATAGCAATGTTCCCCATCCAATCTGACAGCACTCAAGAGGAAGATACCCAAATACAAGTTTTTCATGCTTGTAGCATCAAACCCATTAAGACTGCCAAAGTGCATCAACAAAGTAATGAGTAAAATGGTCTGAATACTTATGATATTTAGGCTTTCTTTTAAAAATACATTTACAAAACTTGTTGTATGCTTGAAAACCTGTTTCTGCTTGGATTTGGTATTTTCCAGTTGCACAGGTTTTGCACAAATAATTATGCTTAATAAAAGATTATATAGTACTGTCTATTTAAATTTAGAAAATCTTGTTTTGGGTAAGTAGTAGTCAAGAAGTCCTCATTAAAATGAATAAAATGATAATCTCATACTTGTGAATGGGATCTCCATTTTTGAACATGGTGCCAGAACCTGAAAAAGATAAAATGACATTTTCAATGAACTATGACTCGAACCACTTCAGCAAAGGTGCATTAGATATGCTCTTCTATGCATGTACATAACAAACTGACATTCCAAACCCTCAGTTTCAAGGGTTTCAGGATAAGAGTTTATCACTGCAACTAAATTAATAGCTTTACTGGGAAGTCATGCATTAAAAAAATAAAAAAGGATGGAGGTCAACCAGCTCACTGCTACAACTATGAGAGTTGCTGACCTTTCCCTTTCCTCTAAAAATAGCCAGTTCAGTTACAGCATATCTGTTACAGTTCACTCAGCATACATTTACAGTTTGTGGAATTACACATTTACATTATGAGCAAAAAAAAAAAAAAAAAAAAAAAAAAAAAAAAAAAAAAAATAAAAAAAAAAAAAAAAAAAAAAAAAAAAAAAAAAAAAAAAAAAAAAAAAAAAAAAAAAAAAAAAAAAAAAAAAAAAAAAAAAAAAAAAAAAAAAAAAGACACAGCTAACATAAATTTAAAAAAAAAAAAAAAGGCTAAGTAAAAAGTGCAATATAGTTAAATAAATACTTAGTAAATCTGGAACAAAAGACTTGAAATATTTTTTCCACTGGTAATAAAGTGAGTGTATGAGTGTCTGATAAGGGAAATACATTTAAGACAAAAAGTCAGCTTCATAGTGAGGTAGGACCTAATGTATGCACAGGTCTGTGAGTGAAAACATGCAGCTGTAGTGACATAAAATTCCTAACTGGCACATTAGTCCTCATTTCCTAGTATGCTTAATACTGTAGTGATGCTTAAAAATTTAATATCTTAAATACATTTAAGAACTGACAAAGAGGTTTCTTAATTTTATATCTGGTTCTGAAAACATAAAGCACTATTGTGTGTGTTGGAGCTTGAATCTGGATAAGTGCAATACCCTTCATTATTTTAAAAGTGATTGTTGCAATGTCATGTGATGTACATTTACATTTACAGCATTTGGCAGACGCCCTTATCCAGAGCGACTTACATTTATCTCATTTTTATACAACTGAGCAGTTGAGGGTTAAGGGCCTTGCTCAAGGGCCCAGCAGTGGCAGCGTGGTGGTGCTGGGGATTGAACTCATGACCTTCCGATCGGTAGTCCAACATCTTAACCACATCTTAACCACATCTTAACCACTGAGCTACCACTGATGTAAAAATGTTGTTAAATTACAAGCTATATAACTAAACAGCTAGCTATATGATCCATGTCTCTGTACATGCTGTTTTACCTTGCAACCAATAACCCTCCTCAAAATGCACAAAAATGGCACTACTCCCTTAAATCTCTCAACAGATTACTGATTAATCTGGCTAAGAAAATGTGAAAGTAAACTGTGTATGTGCGTATCTCACCTTTATGACTGAAGAGTTCAGTGAGCAGAGTGTTAGCTGAAGTGATGACTGCTGAGCTCTCTGGGGAGAGCTGGTTGAGGAGGTGAGCGATAGCGCTGACCAGCCTGCGCTCCAACGCACACAGCCACTCAGCTGAGGACAACAGCGGAAGGTCACTCGGCAGAGACACGGTACCCAGCACCTGAAACACACACACACACACAACAAATCAACTTTCTAAATCTATCAAATTTCCGTTTTTCTAAAAGGAACAATGAACAAGCACACAAGTGAAAAGTGGCAGATCAGAAAAGACATGGTCCTGCAATTTCTATGCTTAACTTGTACATGAAATGTGATTGTATGGTTATGTGTGTGGGATTATGGTAGATAACTCTGCCTTTGAAGGGATGGGCATATCATAACAAAAACTGTATTATCTACCCCACCGGACAAGTAAGTCCCATGTCAGGACTCTTCTCTGTTCTGGCACCTAGGTGGTGGAATGAACTTCCCCTAGATGTCCGAACATCATGAGTCACTGGCAGTCTTCAAACGACGTCTAAAGACCTACCTCTTCCTGAAGTACTTAAATTAGCACTTAAAAAAAATTGTGTTGTCTGTGTGCTTTTCTTACTATATTACCTCCCCAACAGGGTTTTTAGACTGATAGTACTCTTAGTCCATGACCTAGTGAACCAGTATCGGGATATATTTATTGATAGAGACTTCAAAGCACTTCTGTAAGGCGCTCTGGATAAGGACGCCTGCAAAATGCCATAAATGTAAATGTTTTGGTTGCCTGAAAACTTTATTGAATAGTTAAGTGCATTAATAAATACTATGAGAAACAAATGAGCATATTGTCAAGAAACACATCGTGCTTGCAACCTCAACAAAACATCAGCAAGTAAATTAAGCTACGATTTGGTGTTATCTCTTTGCATTACATGTAAAAGATATTATTTGAGTCTGGTTAGCATCTTTATCTCTCTATATATGTTCAACCATGAGGTGCCTATATATTGTGCTCAGCTTTGTCACTGTTTTGAAACACCTGCGGAGTACAGGGATGGGTATTCCCCGTGTTCCTGATTCTAAAAAGTTCACCTGCCATCTGTGCAAGGTAATTAATCCACCCAGTAAAAATCAATCTCTCTTCTAGCCAGACTAATAGCCCGGATAAGAAATCTGCCTGTCCTGAGCGCCCGGCTAATGATTTGTCCTACTTTGTAAACCATCCAATTATTAAAAGCTGGCCTTAATATAAGACAAAGTTCACAGTGATTCAATACCAAATGACAGTATAAACTGATCAAGTTGCTGACTGTGAGGTGATCACACTAACACACCTACGCTTACCTTTAGGTTCTGGTTACGGAGACCCCCCCAGCTGTTCAGGAACATGACTTTGAGGGGCTGGAGAGCTCGAGAGATGGCTACGGTGACGTCGACTGAATTGAGGAGAGTGGAGCAGCCAGCTGTATCACAGCCCACAGGGCACACCAGGGGAATGGCACCGCAGTCCAGACTCCACTGAAGCAGGGTTGTGTCTACCACGATGGAGGCAGCACCACTAACACACAAACAGAGAGCAACAACTGAGAACCATTTCCACATAAGCCTCAAAATCTTACTTGCTCATGACCCAAGCAGAATATGCATGCTTGTCTGTTAGGATTGTTTAAAAGGTATCTTGGTGAGTGTGCTTATTAACCTGCTGTAGTGTTGAGGCTCCAGAAGTCGCAGCATTGACTCTGCACTAAAGAAAGGAATGACACTTGCTGAGCTCTGCTGCAAGGCCTCAGCAAGAGCTTGGCAATATTTAATCAGTACAGTTCTGCAGTCAGAGGAAACAGGTCCATCTGGTACACAGTTTTCTTTCATCAGCTCGGGAGGAATCCCCATTACCACCACGGTCTTCATATCCATGCGCTGCAGGAAGGACAAGGCGAACGCCAGGCTCTGCACCATCTCACAGCTCTTGAACACTGACGGGTCGATCTGGACACAACAGATGAAATGTTATTCAAGTTCTGCTGTGCCTAACATGTAAGCTATTAAAGCACATCTCTTTAAGCCAAGTATTTATCTGTATTTCCACCTGTGTAAATAGATCCTGGTGAAAGAGTGCCCATTATCTGTAAATTTCCATCATGCTTTATCATGTTATGTTTGACCAAACCAGCACAAGATAGTCAATTTACCTAAAACATAAGGCAAAGTATTAAAACCAGCTTTTGTTATGCAGCTAATGCTTCACTCGAGCATTTGTCTATTTGCATACCCTGTTTCAGAATGCAAAACATGTAGGCAGTTTTTTTGAAGTTTTTAAAATTTATTTGATTATGAAATTGAATTTGATTATATTGCAAATCATTAGAGCATTAAAACCATTATTGTGGTTGTCTGGAACACCAGTTTGTTCAACTACAACTGACAATTTCAGGAAATTGTTGGCGAAAAGAAAATATTTTTCTATGCGTGAACATTGTTTATATATTTTCCAGGAAAACAAGGGATTTTACCTGGAATTACAAGCATGTTCAGCTTCATTCTCATACCAAGTGTGTCTGAGCAGCAGTTCTTCTTAAATTCTTTAATAGCCATGCCACATAACACGTCATGTTCATTTGTAGCCATAATCAAAAAACAAGAACACTAATTAACAACTGAAAATGATGACGATGATGATTATTATTATTACTATTAGTAGTAGAAGGAGAAATAGTAACAATTATACTACTACTATTGCCATCATTCTAGCCTTGCTATACTAGTTGGTCATTTTATCAGGTACGCCTGCCATGTAAATGCACTTGTGTACTGTACACAATTACTGCTTAATCTGTGTGTTGTTGTGCACAAGCTGTCAGTCCACCTTTACCATGTCCATCAGTAAAAAGGAACAGTCATCAGCCTATCACACTGCTGAGCAGATGGTGTGTGTGTGTGTGTGCTGGCTCATTCTCAGCACAGATGTGACCCTGACAAACAGTAATCCTGCTGTTAGTGCTGCTAGAAATGAACCACCACTGGATCTCTGAATTACTAATACTACAGTGTAGACAAGTAATCTTCCAGAATATACCATTATTTAATTCATATATTTATTTAATTCATTCATTTAACTTAGCAGTTTGACAAGATCAGTGTGTGTTTTAGCAGCTGGTTGCTGGTCAGACCAAGCTACAAAGTGTAAGTTTGTATTAAGAAGAAGAAGAAGAAGAAGAAGAAGAAGCTAGTTTGATGTTGGCCAGCTTACTGAGCTCACTGTAACTGGAGTTAGCATGCTCACCTCCAGAACGGCGAAAGCAGGCGCTTTACACACATTTGCTCGCTGAAATTGCGTCAGCCAGTAACGAGCTTCCCGCGGATCCCCGCCGACTTCATTGAGAAACGCTTTAACGTCCCGGTAGACCATGGTGCGGTTGGACCACACACCGCGCTCCGAGAGCGGGAGGAAGCTGGCGGCGTCTAGCTGCGTCTGTACGGGGATCTTGTTAGCCTGTACGGCGGAGGTGACTGACAGCATGCGCCGCTGAATTTTGGCGAGTTTCCGCTGACCCGTGTTCTGCTGCGGCTGAGCGAGAGGCAGAGACGGCGCCGGCTTTGACAAAAACTGACCGGCCATTACGATAGCCCTACAGCCAGACGCCCCGCCGTTTACTTTAGCCATGAGTCGGTCAACTAAGCCGTGTCTGGTGAAGCGAACTCCGGTTTCTCCCAGCTGTCAAATTCAGTATGTTCGCCTCTGCTACGCTAAGCTATGCTATACTATGCTATGCTAACTTGCAGTACGTTAGCAAGCGCAGTCGTTGCTAATAATTCATCTGTACGAAGGCGTGGCCACAACCGGTAACCACGCCTCTTTTGCAGTAAGCGTTCCTACACTGGCCCTGTCCCGAATGACGCCCTGAGCACTGCTCTCCTCCTCCAAGTCTGCACTTTGGTGCACTACGGTGCGCTGGTGGTCGATGGCTTGAGAGTGTACAAGTGAGCATTTGGGACACTCCTCAATGCTACGTCACATACGTGGATTTTTTTTAGTTAATGAATCTCATCAAGTACAAACAAGCCTATGTATCTTCACTCTAGGAGTATACAGTTTAATACACATAAATTAAAAATCTGTATAGGTTTAGATGCTTTTTGTTTTAAAGAGAGCCGAACTGTGTCAGTGTAATGTGTCATTTTCCTTTTTAAAGAAGCAAATCTCATCCACAGGAGAGTAAATTCCTTACATTCCTGGGTGTTGTCTGCTGTGTTCATGTCAGGACACGTCACAGCACCCAGGTGTTGATTAGTTTCCTATAACAGCATGCCTCGCTGTGTGTTATTCCTTACATAAGTGGCTGTCATAGTAAAATTAAAACCAGTTCTAAAATAAACAGAGAATCAGCGCAATAAAGCTATAGCTCAGAATATGGAATAAGAATTGTATGGAGTAAGAATTGAGCATACTTTTAGTGTCTGACAGTGTATACTCCTCACAAGGCAATAAGGACACCTCAGAGGGCCATTACTGTGGTGTGTGAGTGTGAAATTAATGATAAGACATTGAGATGAGATGTTAAATCCTTAATCATTTTCATTTCTCAGTGAACACAGCCTTCAAAGCGTACGGCAGGGTGCCGACAGAGGAGTTGTGGTACTGTATGAGGAAGTCGGGAGTGGCAGAGAAGTATGTGAGGATGGTGCAGGGTATGTATGAGGACAGTGCGACAGCAGCGAGTTGTGCGGTAGAAATGACACACTGGTTCAAGGTGGAGGTGGGATTGCGTCAAGGATCGGCTCTTAG